AGACATAGAAAGATTGCATTCATCTGGGGGATATAAAGTAACAAAGTATGAGATTAATACCCAAGAATAGCTGAGATCAGCACCAGGAGGATTACTCCATAATTTAGAGGCCAGCCAGGTATCCTAGAGGAAAGGGCAGTTCAGATAGAGAAGGGAGCACCAAATAAAGGATGTTTGGAGGATCCTCCCAGGAGGGGAGATGCATGTCGAAAGTAGACTATGGACTGAACATGTTTGCCACTCAATGCCTCTTTTGCAGACCACAACACCCAAAAGGAAAGAGAGAACACAGGGGATTGCCCTGCCACAGAGACAGGGGAGATGGGGGGATGGGGGTGGGAGGGATATTATCCATGGTGGTGGAAAATGGGCACTGGTGGAGGGATGGGTATCTGATCATTGTATAATTGAAACCAAAGCACAAAAATATGTAAATCTACAACTTTAAAAAAAATAAAATAAAATAAAGGGAAAAAAAATAAAAAATAAATAAAATATATAATAAATATGTTAATAAAATACATACAACACTCATAAAAAAAAATGTTTCAAAATAATGAAAACAGATCTATCATAAAATCTGATAATTTGACCCCTAAGGATCTGTCCAAAGAATGAAAAATATCTGTGCCCCCCTCCAAAAAAAACAACTTGCAAAAAACAATCTGCATACCTCTGTTCATTGCCACCCTCTTTTTAACAGTCATGAGATGGAAACAGCCCAAGTACTGAATTGACGAATGAGTGAACAATTCTACTCAGCTACAAGGAAAGATAAAATCTTGCTTTTGTTAACAACCCAAATGGAACTAGAGAAAGTCATACCAGGAGGAGTAAGTCAAAGGGAAGATGTTATCACCCAAATATGGCACATGAAGAAATAGAGAAAGAGATGAAAGTCCAACAGAAACAAACCCTGAGACTCTGAGAACAGAACTGAGGTAACCCAGGTGGAGGGAAAGGAGAAGGGAAGGGTCAGTGGACGGAGTTGTGGGTGGTCATCAGCACCTCAGTGGGAGGTGATAGAGAACATTGTACCCCTAAAATAGAGAGTCCTACAAACCAATGCCTCCCTAATAAAAATTAAATAACACCCCTCCCCAATTTTTTCTGAAACTTTTTTTTCCATGTCACTATCACTATCACCCCGTTGTTCACCGATTCACTCGAGCGGGCCCAGTAACGTCTCCATTCGTCCCTGTCCCGTGCTAGTGTAGCTCAATGACATATTGGTGGCTCCTTCAGGATGAGGGGAATGAGGACCATTCATTGTTATGGCGTCTCTGGCTCCTGATCAAGTTGATTAATGGCCATGATCCCAGAGACTCAGGAACAGATCTCGGAACCTAGCAGGATTTGGCAGGAAATCTCTCCAGATTTAATTGTTAAAATTTTGGAATTTCAAAATTGCGCAGCCACTCTGCAACCATGCGACATCACATATTATTCATGACCAGCAATAGAAATCAAATTGTCTACTATTGCCTTTTCGGCAGATCTGAGTATTGGGGTAAAATCCCAAATAATAATGGTGGGTCTGGTGTCAAAATGTTGAATATGATCAAAGTACAGAGAGAGTGATTTGGAAATCACCCCACACTTAGGGGGAGGGTGTGGGATGGGGGTTTACTGGGGTTTTTGGAGGTAGAGAATGGGCACTGGTGAAGGTCATACTTTCATTGTATGACCGAGACTTAGACCCGAAAGCTTTGTAACTGCTCTCACGGTGATTCAATAAATAAAATTATAAAAAATGGGGGGAAAAAAGTAAGGTGGAGTTCATGCAAAATTCAATCAGCCTAATCAGTGGCTGAATAAACAGCAGTACTCCTACATTACAAAAAAAAGCAGAATTATATAATAACACTAATTGTGAGAAAAAATGCATATATAGTGGTATTACTAAGATTATTTTACTGTGTGTCACCCAAATTTCCATTTAATATAATATATATTACTTTTATCATCTGAAAAAAAGTTCTATCACTAGCAAAAACTGATGATAATCTCTATGGGCTGTGGGTGCCTACAGTGCACAGAATAATCAATGCAGATTTATTTTCCACAACAACCCCAAGAGAAAAGTATCATCTGCACTGGAAGGATGGTACTGAAGATGAGAGAGGCCAAGTGACTGGACAAAGGTCAGATGATCACAGACAGACCATTCCCCAAACAGTTGGGGAAGTGGAGGAGAGTCCGTTTCTCTGCTCAGTGTCAGAATTCCTCATCGGGTTTGTGAACTTGTTTAATAAAGTCCAAAATAAACACAAAGCACACTAAAAACAAAGGCAGCTGAATTGGTGATCAACTCAAAATCACAATGCAAAATCTCCCCTACCTGTGAATTTGAAAAATTAAATGATTCAAAGCTTTTCCTGCCTTTGATTTCTGGCTTCTATTTTCACTGACTTTACTTTCTCCCACCGTCCGTCATTGGTGTGATGAGTTGAACTCTTTGGGCTGGGGACCTCACTGCAGGCCGCAGGGCTGACTGTGGGGCTGGCATCCTGTGTGGAGGTGCACTAGAAATGACACTTTTTGTTGCTGTACCTGTTGTGGTCCTAGGGATAACTGTGCTAGTGTTTCTAGGCTCTCACTCCCTATTTGGGGTGCAGGGATTAAGAGCATCACTGCATACCTGCAAGGCAGGCTCTCTACACTGAGTGACTTCCCTAGGCCTAGCTTGGATTTATTTTCTAGGAAAATGTTCATCTCTAAATATTAGCATATAAATTATATATGGGTAGTCTCAAAAGATTATTAGTGAGAGAGATAATGCCTCCCTTTAAAGGTGGATATAAAAGCATTTTTAAAAATCTGACTGAAGGCTGACAATCAAAGAATAGTGAGAAAATCTATTTGCTAATTATACACTATCAACCAGGTCATTTCAGAAGAATCAGGTTACTGAAAACTTGCTTTTTTTTTCTGTGCCCAAGTTAAAGTTCACGAAGTAGCACATTATGCAAGAAGCCCCATAAAATCAAAGTTAGGTGTCATTTCATACAGTATAAAAAGAATGGGAGGGTGTCATTTCATACACCATAAAAAGAAAGGTTGGAACAATAGCACAGCGGGTAGGGCCATTTGCCTTGAATGAGACCCAGGTTCTATCCCTGACATCCCATATGGTCCCATATGGTCCCCCAAGCACTGCTAGCAGTAAATCCTGAGTGCAGAGCCAGGAGTTATACCTGAGCATCACTGGGTGTGACCCAAAAAGGGAAAAAAAAAAAAAGGTGAGGGCTGAGAATGTGGCTCGAATAGCAGTGCGCAATGCCCTCCCACGGAGCGCCAGCATCACAGTCTCCTATGCATTACAGGAGTGGCCCTGAGGCCATTCCCTCGTCTTCCCTGAATTTTCTTAATGAATATTTGTTGTTTCTGGGGGGGGGGGGGGTCACAGCCAGCGATGCTCAGGGTTACTCCTGGCTCTGTACTCATTCAGGAATCACTCCTGGCGGTGTTCGGGGGACGATATGGGATGCCAGGGATTGAACTGGGGTCAGTCACATACAAGGCAAGCACCCTACCCCCACTGTACTATCTCTCTGGCCCCAATGAACATTTTTTAAGATGAGGGGGGAAAAATAAGATTATTTCAATGGAGTAAACTTCCAATGATCTTTCTCTAAAATTAGAAAATCAATTCTCATATCCTGAAATTTTTCTTCTGAACAGATACATCTGAAGAACTAACAAAATTATATATTTGGAGATATACATGTATATATAAGGATATAGACCTAGACAAATATTGTCAACTTTCATGAGGCTGGAGCACTAGCGCAGTGGTCAGGGTTCTGCCTTGCACACAGCAGACCTGGATGCCCTCCCAGCAGTGCAGAGGAGTGACCCCTGAGTGTCGCCAGAAGCCAGCCCTGACCACTGCCGGGTGTGGCCCCAATGCAACAATAACAGAGAAAGGCAAGTTTTAAAATCAAAAAATCATACAACACCCGGAGAATTCTCCGGACCCTGTACCAAGGTGATATCACCAGGAGGTCCCAAATGGGGCAGGTGCTGTCCCCCCGCCTTCTCCAGAAGGAATCCCAGTGACCATGAGCTTCTACAAGCATGGCTCCGGTATGTGGGTACCAGGACTACTCTTCCGAATAGCCTGCCTAAGTGGCCGCACAATCATATACACAGTGAGCAATGGAAAGTAAACGATCTAGGGTCTGGCCCTGGAGGCAGGCTTGAATGGTGGTGGGAAAATTCGAGCAAAATATAATGCCCAACAGAAATGCATCTGGACTGTGCATTAAACTATGTTTCCATGCCGCTCTGGGTGGGCAAGGGTGTTTGTCCCTCTGCCTTTTCCCCCTCGCGGCGGTGGCATGGTGGCCACCATCTTTCAGAGCCTAATGGAGAGCCAGGTATGAGACTGCAGTGACGAGGCACGCAGTGCCTCATAGCATGGGGGTGGAACTGGCCCCGCTCTCCACCCCGACAAGGCCCCGAGTTGCTACCCATGAACGCCTCCTCTGGCTCCTGAACGACCATGATCCCAGAGGCACACAAACCAATCCCAGAACCCAGCGGCTTCTGGCAGGAATCCCTCCAGACTTATTACTAGAATATCACTAATAGTGGCCGCGTGACATCATACGCTCTTCATAATCAGCAATAGAAAACAAATTATCTAATGATGTCTTTTTGGCAGGTCTGATTGTTGGGGAAAATTCCAAATAATAATGGTGGGTCTTCTGTCATAATACTGAATGTGATCAACGTAGAGAGAGAGTAAAGTGGAAATCTGCCACACAGGCAGGGACTGGGGTTCCTGGTGGAGGAAAATATGTACTGGTGAACGGATGGGTGTTTGATCATTGTATGACTGACCAAGACTTAAACTGAAAGGTTTTGTGACTGTTCTCACGGTGATTCGATAAATAAAAAATTTAAAAAAAAATTAGAAACTCATTTGAAAACAGTATCTTACATTCTTTTAAAATACTATGTGAATATTTTACAAGCACAAATTTGCTACTTACAGGAAATGGCTCTAATCCCTCCTGAATCACAAAGCCTTCAATCACATGGGTCAGGATCTGTGGCTTAACAATCGCCTGTGGAGGTTTGTTCTCCATACTGGGAATTGTACTGGACAGAGATGTATTATTACTCCTCGTGGCAGCAGCTGGAAGCAATAGCGGAGGTGGAGGAATGGAGACGTGTGAAGGGTCTGATGGAGATTTGATCACTGAAGCACTGACCGACACCACAGCAGGTAACTCCACTTGCTCTGGGGGAAAAAAAACAAACTTGCATTGGCAATCTTAGCATCGTACACCCAGGCAGGGATGAAGCACTGTAGCACTGTCTTCCCGCTGCTCTTCGATTTGCTTGAGTGGACACCAGTAACATCTCACAACAAATTGTGAGACTTGTTGTTGCTGTTTTTGGCATATCAGATACGTCACAGGTGACTTGCCTGTTTCCTGGTGACCACAGAAAACCGAAAAGGGAGGTGTTCAGCCCCACCTCCCTTCCCGCCATCACCTTGACAGGCACATTACCAAGATCTGCTGGCTGTAGCTTACTTAGGTCTCATGTTTTCTGATACTGTTGAGTCTGTGTTTCTGAAAATACACCGACATAAAATCTATCTTCTTGGATTTGTTGCTGTTTGTCTGGGCTACACCCGGCAGTGCTGTGGGATTACTCCTGGTCTGCACTCAGTGATCATTCCGGGTGGTGCTAAGGATGCCATATGGGGGTGGGGGGAGAGACGGAGGGGAAGATTGGCCATGTTCAAGGCAAGTCCCAGCCCACTGGGACTATCACTCCAGCCCCAACAATCTTCCTTTTATTTAGTAAAATACAGCCACTTTAGTATTATGAGACGAAGCAAACAGTAGATTTACTCAGAGTCATAAGCAGCATAAAAACAATAGAAATCTGAAAGCCTAAACCCAGGAATTTTTTAAATTGATGTCTCCAGTAAGAACTAGTGGGGCTTATAGTGTCTGAGAAAGAACGCTTTCAAAAGCATCCATTCACTCTGAATCACCAATTAGAAGGAATGTCAGCTATGACTGATCATGCTTTGTGGTTGTTTTGGAAAGTATAACTGAAATCTTTTGAAAGAACTCTAATTTAGTAAAATGTTTAAGCTAGAAATATCCTGAGACTTAAGAATATGAATAGGTCTATGAAATAGGCCTATGAAACACAATTTTTCTGTCTTTTTTGTTTTTGTTCTGGAACAGACCCAGTACACTTATCATTCCTGGCGGGGCTGCAGAAACAATATGGGTTGCCAGGATGGAACCCAGGTAGGTGCTATGCATGGCAAGCCCAATCCCTACCGTGCCTTCTCACTGACCCCAATACAGCGAGGGGTGGGGGAGAGAAAGGAGACCTAGAGAGAAGGAAGGAGAAGGGGAGGGAGAGGGAGAGAGGAGAGAGAGAGGAAGGAGAAAAAGAGAAGGAGAGGAGGCAAAGAAGAGAGGGAGAGGGAGAGAGGAGAGAAAGAGAGAGAGGAGAGGAGAAGAGAGAAGAGAAAGAGTGAAAGAAGAGAGGAGAGAGAGAGAATGTGTGCCTGTCATAAAGGCAGACTGGGGTGGGGATAGGAGGAGGAGGGAAACTGGGAACAGAGGTGGCGGGAAATGCTGGACAGACAGTTGTGAGAACACCATAGGATCGAAACCCAATCACGAACAACTTTGTAATTATGTATCTCGCGGTGGTTTAATGATGGAAAAAGTTTTAAAATTGAAAAAAATAAAAGAACCACATTAGTGAAAGTCACTAACTACTGCTCAAAGCCTGTTTCTTCCTTGGGTAGTTCCTAGATTATTTAATTGCTCCTCATCGGAAAAAAATTATTGAATTCTGTTTTGGTGTAACGACCTAACAAATTCACTTAATGCCACAGCTAATGAAAAATCAATTTTCCCATTACTGAAACACAAACAGAAGCAACAGAAAGTTCCCCACCTGGACATGTCCTCACCATCAGAATCACTTTTTTTTCACAACTTTTACAGAGATGGACATGCCCTCACCTAGCAGAGGATGCTCTGAGGTCAGGTCTTCTCTGCCCACGGCGATGGCCGCGGGGGAAAGGGTAGGCGGGGGCGGGGTCCTGTCCATGCGCACACACTCCTCTCGCTCTTCGGGCATTTCTTCCTCACACACATCTTCTACTTGGTAAACCTGCAACAACAACCCACACTATAATAAAGTATTCATTATTTTTTAAATCATAAGTATCTCAAATTTAAAAATATGGTACAATGACTATTTGATATGTCGAAAGGAAAACTTCGTAAATAGTGCAACTGAATTTGTCGATACTGCTTGACAGCACTTTACTGAAAGCAAGTCGTACCTAGGCTTCAGATCATCCAGATCCTACCAAAAGGTGTTTGACTAGTGTAGGACACGTTGGATTTTGAGAATTATTTTAATGCCTTGCTTCTAATACACTCAAATAACTATCTTAGGATTCTGCTACTGTGTCTGCTTACTTCTAATTATCATAAATTAAAATAAATACTAATGGGCCGGAGTGATAGCACAGCAGGTAAGGTGTTTGCCTTGCACGCAGCTGTCCCCAGCATCCCATATGGTCCCCCAAGCACCTCCAGGAGTGATTCCTGAGTGCAGAGCCAGGAGTGGCCCCTGAGCATCGCTGGGTGTGACCCAAAAAGCAATAAATAAATAAATAAATAAATAAATACTAAGGCCAGAAAGGTGGCCCAACGGGCAACAGCACAAAGCACACAGGAGCCCCCGGCACTACTTAGCCCCCAGCACCTCCTGCAGTGCCAAGCCAAGAGTAACTCCCAAGCACCTCCAAGGGAGGCCCCAACTGCACCCCACACACCGCGTGCCCCTAGCACTCCCCCCTTCCCCCCCCCACACACACACCAAAATATCTTCATTTAAAGTTGAAAACAATTTAGAGGCTGAGGGTGTGGCTCAGCCGTTGAGCACCTGTCCTGCAAATGGGAGAACGTAGGCTTGATTCTTGGCACCTTATGGTTCAATGCCCACCACCGGGAGTGACTCCTATTAGAAGGACCAGGAGGAACTCCTGAGCACAGCCGGTGTGATTCAACAACAAACTAAACGAAATGAAATTAAGTTGAAAACAACTTCAACACTGATCTCCAATGTTTCCTGGTAACCCCAGAAAAGAAAGGCCATCCCTGTATGCTGGGGACAGCTGTGCTTGTTTTGTACAGGGACCCTCTGTATGGACTGAGGTACCCTCAATCGGCCCCTTTCCTCAGAGAGCCAAGCTGCTGGGAGAAGGATTCTCTTCATGTTTTCTCTTCCTTTTGATCTCCTCTACATACTCTGCTTGCATATTAATCACAGTCTTCATTGCACAATATCATGCTAGTCTGTCTTGGTATCGCCTTCACTTGATAAAGCGGTCATTTATTCATCTCTGTGTCCCCTGCATCTGGGACATTATAAGAGTTCAGTAAGATCTGAATAAACGACTTTCTATATTTTCCTGGCTATTAGACAAGAGGCAAAATTTATTTCATAAGAATTTAATTCTTAAGCTAAAATTTAATTTAATTCTAAAGGAGGTAAAGGTAAAAGGTAAAGGCCCTCCCGTTGATCGTCGATTTGCTCGAGCGGGCCCAGTAACGTCTCCATTGGAGACTTTGTTGTTACTGTGTCTGGCATATTGAATACTCTCGGTAGCTTGCCGGGCTCTCCGAGAGGGGCGGAGGAATTGAACTCGGGTCGGCCATGCTGGCCGCTTGTAAGGCGAACGCCCTACCCGCTGTGCTATCGCATTGTTAATACGAAAAGGATATGAAAGAAAATTTGGAATAAAAATATTCCACGACACAAACATAAAAACTGCATAGATAGCTCAAAAGACTGCATACTTCATGTGAAAGAGGCCTGGGTTCAATCCCCAGTACAATCTCCCCCAAGCACCACTGGATCTGAGTTCCAGTCACAGGGCTGGAAGCATCCACCGAACACCAAATAAATAGTGTGTGTGTGTGTGTGTGTGTGTGTGTGTGTCTTGAGGAGGGGGGGGTAAAATAGCTCAAAGGGTTGAAGCAATTCTTTGCATGGGGCGGGTAGTGCTTCAATTCTCAGCACCATATAATCCCTAAGTACTGTATAAGGAGTATCCCAAGTATTACCAGATATGATCTGAAACAATGAAAGATAGTTAATAAAATACGTGAAAGAACTGGTTGTTTAGAGGTTTAAAAATAACCTTTTTTTTTTTCAAATTTTTTTGGTGACTCCCGGAGATACCCAGGTGTTACTCTTGGCTCTGAGGACCACACAGCATGCCAGGGATTGAATGCTCAAGGCAAACACTCTACCCACGGTAGTGTCTCTCCAGCCTCTGAGGTTTCTACAATTTTATTTTTAAACTTTGGGGAGGTGAACCATGTTGTGGGCTACTTCCTTTCAGGTGCCAGAAATCAAAGAGCTTTACAGATGCCCAAGTATGTGCTCCAACACTGAGTCACAGCCAAAGCATGCACATGCCCACAGCAAGGGGACTTTGGGGTTTCATACTGTTTGGGTTCTTGGGGCAGGAAGGCAATCCCACAGGCACTCCAAGTGGGTCTGGGGGACCTGGTGGTGCCAGAGATCTCACAGGTCTCCTGCACACAGAACATGCCTTGACCCCACTGAGCTCTCTCCCCAGCCCTGAAAAGTATTTCTTCTGGGGTACACTGCGGGTGGGGGACAGCAGCCGGTACCTCCAAAACATTCCTCCAGCAGTTCTCAGTCGAACAGAACAGCAGTTCACTGAGAGACTGCAGAGGCAGTGCAGCTCTGTGGGGGCCAGTGCCTGAGATTTTCCAGTCATCCTGGTGAGACTGGAAGGACTCTTCAGGGCTACATCCAGAGATGCTCAAGACCCCAGGCAGTGGTGCCCACCCAACCAGAATCAGCAGCATGCAAACACCCTTACTATCTCTCTGGTTTAATAAATCAGGAGTTCCACCACGGAAATGAGTCTGCTTTAAAAGAGATTTTTAAATACTGATTTAATGAAAATGGCTGAATAGGCAAGAAGTCAAAGAAATATCAATGAATTTAAATATCACAGAATTAATTGGTGTCAAACAAAATGACCTCTTTCTTCTCAAGGAAACTATGATCTAGGACCAGAGAGACAGATCAAACATCTAGAGTACATCTCCTTCTAGAGGACATCTCTTGCATGCCGGAGGCCCAAGTTCCATCTCCTGCACCAGGTACTCCCTGAGCTTTCCGGAAGTGCCCTGCAGCAAAACTACCTGTGACCTCCGAACCAAAAGCTATATACAGTACGTGACTTTTCTTCCAAAGATAAAGTCTCAGTCAAAGTCTCAGTCTCTCTCTCTCTTTCCCTCTGTCTGTCTGTCTGTCTCTCTCTCCCCCCCCATCTTCCTCCCCCCCACTCCCTCCCTCCCCCCCTTGGGGGGGTGAACGCTGACTGGAGGGGGGAGAGGGTGCAAGGGGATACCTAGGAATTCACACACGCTAAGGCATGAGAGAGCCATATCCTCAGTCTAGATCAGTATATTTTCTTTAGAACTCTCTGACACTCTAGTAAGCACTTTAATATTCATTCTGTCACAGATTTTCAAACTCCTATTAGAGTACCTTTTAAGGAATCAAAGTTTTATTATAAAGTTTTTACTTAAAAAATTTTTATAAAGTCTTTAAAGGATAAAAGAGGCAATTCTCAACCTATTGAAAAACACAATAAAATATCTTTTATTCTTCATAGTTTTTAACTAGACATAATTTATTCCAAATATCCAATATAAGAGCAAAATAAGTCTCTGACAAAAGCAAGCAAAAGATATGTCATGAGCATCTGGCACTGTAAGCATTAAAAATAAATAAGCACCTTTGTGTGACAACTGAAATATTGAATAAAGGGGGAATGTGGAGATTCTGCTCATAAGATTGTTATGAAACTGCACATTACAATTTGTTTAGCTCCGACTCTGACATTCTCCAACTAGCAATGACTTACCTCAGTAAGGAAATACAAGCCTGTCTCCCCGACTATATAAACTTAGGCGCATTTATTACTTCTAAATTATCTACTCACAACATCTTACCAATCACACCCAAATGTCAATTAAAAAAAAAAGTTCATTTATGAATGTATCTTTTAGAAAAGACTTGATTTTATTTTGAGCATTCACCCTTATCTTTTGAATCTTCTTAACTCTTAAGAAGTATATATATCTACTTTAATTACATGTATTTATCTAAATACACATAAATATCTAAATAAGTAAAACTATATGGTGAAATTAATTTTGATTTTTTGATTGGTTGGCTAGTTCTGGGGCCACATCCGGCAGCATTCAGTGCCTACTCCCAGCACTGTACTTGGGGTCACTCTCAGTGGTTCTTGGTGGAATCATGCAACACCGAGATCATGGGCTGACCTCCTGTATAATGAAGTCACTCCAGCCCATTAAGCAATCTCTGTCCCTGAATTTTTATTTAAAAACACTTTTAGGGCCCTGGAGGATATTAGAGGGGTGAAGTAGCGTGCTATACATGTTGCCGACCCTGTCCAATCACTAGCACCACATATGGTCCCCCAAGCACCAGCAAGAGCAATTCCTGTGCAAAAAAGCCAGGAATAAGGCCTAAGCACTGCTGGACATGGCTCCCAAGCAAACAAGCAAGCAAAAAAACCCTTTTAATCAAAAGCAGTAAGTCTACGTATGCATAGCAATCTAATAAATAGGTTATTGTACTATAAAAAGGTAATAGTAACTTGGAAACCTTAGGAAGGTGCAAAAGAGAAGGCTGAATTCTCAAAATAAAAATAGTATGGCTATTCCAGTGATACCTTTCTTCAGGAAAGAAATTTAAAACTTCAAAAATAACATAACGTATTACTGATGTGTGTTTGGGGTCCACAGCCAAGCAATCATCAGAGCTACTCCCAGGGGCTCGGCGGTCCGGGTGGTGCCACTGAACCAACCAGGCCTTCTGCTCTCCAGACGAACATCAAAAAAATTTTAAATGTTTAAAGAGACGGCCAGAAGTAACAAAGCAAGAAAAATGTTTTAGCTGTGTTATTATATTGATATTCTGATCCCATGTTTTCCTGTTTCTCTAACAAAAACAAAAATATGAGAGAAATTTTACCTACTAAAATCCAAGTAATAAACTATAAACTGACAACATCCACTAAAGTTTTATCTTTTTGAAGATACACTTTACTTCAAAGGCTGTGTTTATTTTAAGCCACAGAATATATTATCAACTCCCCCAAAAACCACTAAAAATATAGAGGGGCCGAAGCAATAGTCCAGTGGGTAGGGCACTTGACTTGCACATGGTCAACCCGGGTTCCATCCCCAGCAATGCCTACAGTAACCCAAGTCCTGCTGGGGGTGATCCCTGAGTGCCGAGCCAAGAGTAAGCCCTAAGCACTGCTAAGTGTGACTGTCCTCCCAAAATTAAATAAAATAAAGAGGAAATATAGCGGTATGAATGATTAGTGAATGACAAACTTATTTCTCCATTTCTCCGTTCTTATTTCTGGAATGACAAGATCAAAGAATCAAGAGTTTTTTAGGGCTAGAGAGACAGTAGAGGCCTTGTACTCAGCCAACATCAGGTGACCGCCAGGAACACAATGTCCCTGGAACACCCCAGCACCACCAGGTATGGCCCCAATCCTTCCTCACCCCTCAAAAAGAATACAAATTTGCATCCTCAGAATCAAACTGTTTCCAACTCAGGACTGATTCTGAAAGGATTCTTTTCTGAGCTAAGGTTACTACTCTTTCAGTTATAAAAAGAACTTTTCAATGATGGAGCCAGAGAGATAGTTCAGCAGGCAGGTCTTTTGTCTTGCATGCTGCCAGCCTGGGCTCAATCCCTGACACCCCATATGGTCCCGCAAGTACCACAAAGAGCAATCCCTGAGCCAGGAGTAAGCCCTGTGTACTGCTGGGCGTGGCCCCCAAAACAAAAACAAAAATTCTCTTCAGTGAAATTTACAGTACCTTTGGGAAGAATATTTTCCACGGATATAAATGACAAAAATCCATCATTCTGACTAAACCTTTGGAGACTTGACAGCAATTTTTATTGTAAATTATTTTATAAATTTAAGAAGTGATTTTTAAAAGTTCAAAGAAAAACATTTTTCTTTGTTGTAGGGAAGGGGGGGTGCGGGAGGTGAGTGTCAACACTCAGCTGTGCTCAAAGTTCTCTCCTGACAGGGCTCAGGAGACACATGGGGTCCTGGAAAGAGAAACTAGGTCAACCTTATGCTAGGAAAATGCCCTACATACTATCTCTTCAACCCCAGAGAAACATATTTCAAGATAAATTTATCTTCCAGGCAATATACATGTATATAATAATATAATAATATATATAGCATTATTATTATATAAATAATAATATACATATATACTGCCTGGAATATATATACAGTTCACTTTTAGAGGTTAATTCTCAAAAAATTCACAATCAAAATAATTTAAAATTATCTATATTCCATTTGAAATTTTTTAATACTCAATATTAATGCATATAATACAATTTTTTATCTTTTTTTGAGAAATAGTTGAGGTAGTTTCCTTTGTAGAAATTTTAAAATTAGAAGGTTAAAAATCCTAAAAGATGATCTCAAGCTGTTATTTTTTTTTTGCAAAGTAGATTCTTTCCTAAAATAAAGAGCTTTTCACAAAATTTTACTTGCAAAATATATAATTTTACCCAAAAATTATATCATATGAACATGCTTCTATTTTGAAACAAAAGCCCCTAAAGGTCCAGGACTTCAGAATTCTTACAACCATAATTTAAGAACATAGCAAGCCAAGAGAAGGGATCTATGAAGGATAATCACCTTAAGAGAAAAAACTTTGTGCAGATGACACTGGTTCAAATGCATTCCCTTGGGGAAAAAAAATCAACTCTGTAAAGATAGCAGATGGATTTGTTTAAATAGTAATAAAATTAACAAGGGACTAGAATAACTATCACAAATTATCGTGCATGCAACCACACTACAATACACGGTCCTTTGGGTTTGGTTTGGTTTGCTTGTGTTTTGCCCGTACAGCGTATCTGTCAGAATTTACACGCGTTCAGAGCTAGGGAAGTAACACGACGTGGGAGAAAAGTTTCGGTTTCAGTTCAGCAAGAAAGTCAAAGAGCTTCCAAGGGCTTACCACTGGTGGGTCAACAGATGCCGGTGGCTGGACTTGTAGGTTTACCGCCACAGTCTGTGGAGGAGGAAGAGTCTGAAATGGCAACTGGACCAAAGCTTCGGCAGCCGGAAGCTCCTCTTCGGACACCAAAGCATTCTGCACCAAAACCTGACCCTGGGACAGAATTTCAGGCTGCACTTGCAAAGACTGCATGGACGGCAGGGGCAGCGGGGGGATCTGAGCGGGAGGAGAGGCCGACATATGGGGGGGTGTTGCGATCGGGATTGGGGAGGACTGCAGAGCGGAGTACTGCTGGTGTGGCGTTGGAGACACGATCTGCTGACCCGGGGACACTAAGGCAGACTGCTGGACCGGGCCAATGTGCACAACGGGGGAAGCTGGGAGTGGAAGATGGGACGGGAGGTTCAGCTGAGCTGTCGGTGGTACCTGGTTAGCAGGGGTCTGCTGCAGACTTGGCCCTGACTGGAGAGTTGGTGACACCAGCGAGTGTGGCTGGATAAGGGCCTGCGGGTGAATGATGATGGTCGGAGACTGGCTGGGGGAATGAGGTGGCGGGGGAGACACCACTACCGACTGCTGTGCTGACTGAGACTGGGTCGGGGACAGTGTTAAGGGAGGCGGGTGGCTCTGAATCGGCGAGCAGTGCTGTGACGGGGCGTTACTGGAGGCTGCAGGAAGGCCATGGTTGGCGAGTGGCAGGCAGTGCTGGGATGCAGGCGGGTCTTGAATCGGACTCTGAAGGGTGAGCGGCTGAATTTGCTGTTGCTGCTGCTGCAGGATCAGCTGATGGTGGGAAACCTTGGGAGGCGGCGAATGAAGAGGGATCTGCTGATGTTTTATGAGAGGATGAGGCTGAATTGGAGGGTATGAAGCTGCGAGAGAGAAAAAAGTCACAATCAGAACATATTTTTAAAATATTGGGAGTTTTCTGAATAAATCTACTAGGAGAAAGTTTTCACATTAAAAGATCATGATCATCAGAAAGCTACAACTCTTTGAGATAGGAATGACTTGAAAAAAATAATGACAAACAACTTTGCTTTAGAGATTAAAATTCGGTAAAATAAGTCGTACTACACTTAAAAAAATAAAAGTAAGACTAATACAATTAATTCAGAATCTCAACCACTAAAAATGATTTACTCTTATTAAATTTTACTGCCCACCAAAATATTCACATTAACTCTTAACCATATTTTGGGTGGGACAAAGGTTGGTTGGGGTCACACATGGTTCAATAGTTCAAGAACTATTCCTGGCTTAGTGCTCAGGAGTAACCCCTGGCACTGCTCAAGGGACCACATGTAGTGCCAGGAATGGAGCCAGGGTCAGCCTAACAGTTTCATTTAGCTGAATGCCTTCTTTGGAGAGAAAAGGAAAAGTATTGAATAAGCATAATACAAATACATCAAAATTATAAAAATGTTTTATCAAAATTCATAAAAATAAAGGTCTCATTCTTTCTATGGTTAAATATTCTTCCAACTAACTATTTATACAATAATTCTGTAAGGAAATTACTTATAGTTTCCCAAGTTGCTAAATCTGAGCCAAATGGTATTATTTGACCCAGTAAGAGAAAAGGTTTTATATAAAAAGTTAATTCAGTTAAGATGCATAAGTGAATTCTATAAATTTATTAAATTATCGCTGTAAAGATGAAATTAAATTTCAGGTGTTAATTCAAATCTAGGAGAATATTAGCTTGGTGCAAATGCTAAAGAATAATGCACTAAGAATGCACTTTGTCTACATGAAAAATCTTATTTAACTCTTCTTCCTCATAGACACAACAAAAGAATTTTAAGAAATCCTAATCTGGGGCTGGAGCGATAGCACAGCGGGTAGGGCGTTTGCCTTGCACGCGGCCAACCCGGGTTTGATTCCCAGCATCCCATATGGTCCCCCGAGCACCGCCAAGAGTAATTCCTGAGTGAAGAGCCAGGAGTAACCCCTGTGCGTTGCCAGGTATGACCCAAAATGCAAAATAAAAAGAAAAGAAATCCTAATTTGTGTCACATATTAGATGTTATAAAAATAGAAGAGTCCTATAATAGTTTTCCCCACAAAGGAGGAGCCACCCACAGGGACAGTGTTAAAGAGTCAGCATACAGAATTGTAAGTATGCCACAACTCTAAGTTTCCTCATCATTAGGTCTCTTCTGTAAAATGATACATATCTTTATCAGGAGAGCCTAATGAAATCTTCTCTCAATAAGAACAGAAACTGGCTTCACTAGATAAAAACTAAAGTGATTACTATCAATATATTGTAAAACATTACACATTAAAAATAGACCGAAAGAGGCCAGAGAGATAGCATAGTGGGTAGGGTACTTTCCATGCAAGCAGCTAACACGGGTTCAATCCTCAGGACTATATGGTTCCCAAGCCCCGCCAGGAGTGATTCCTGAGCACAGTGCCAGAGGTAAGCCCCAAGCATCGCTGGGTGTGGCCCCCAACAGAAAAAAATATAGACTTGAAGACAGAGCAAAATTTTACTTAACGGCAGAATGTTAAAGACAGAGGGTCAGAGAGAGCACAAGGTTTAAAGCACTTGCCTTGCATGTGGCCAACTACGGCTTAATCCCTGGTCCCCTGAGCAGCACCAGGAGTGGCCACTGCAAACTAGGGGATATAGCCCTAAGATCCTCCCCCCAAGAAAAGATCAGAAAACTGCGTCAGGGAGCGCATTCAGAGGACGAGTGTGTAAGCTTTGGTGCTAGACACTACCCAGGTTTGTTCTGTGACGCCAAATGTTCCCAAGAGCAGTCCCAGGAGTGAAGCTCAGCACCACGCCAAGCTGAGTACCTGAGCACCGCTGCACGTACCCCAGCCATGAGTGAATACACAACACTAACCTCCTAGGACACACACAATAACCTTTGAGTATCTATACTGCAAACTATAGTGCCCAGAGAGCCAGCCAGCCATGGTGGGGGGTAAGGGACAGAGAGGGGCAGGAGGGAAACTGGTGAAGGGATGGGCGATGAAACACTGTATGACTGAAACCCAATCATAAACAACTTTGTAACTCTGTATCTCATTGATTCCACTAAGAAAGTGTGTGTGTGTTTGTGTGTGTGTGTGTGTGAGTGTGTGTGTGTGGGAGGGAGGGAGGGAGGGAGGGAGAGAGGGGGGTTAGAACAATAGTACAGCAGGTACCACTGTCCTGTAACAATGTCCTCCAGTTGTTCATCGATTTGCTCGAGCGGGCCCAGTAACGTCTCCATCATGAGATTTGTTACTGTGTTTGGCATATCGAATACGTCACGGGGAGCTTGCCAGGCTTTGCGGTACGGGCAAGATACTCTCGGTAGCTTGCCGGGCTCTCTGAGAGGGGCGGAAGAATCAAACCCGGGTTGGCTGCGTGGAAGGCAAATGCTGTGCTATCGCTGCAGCCCAATACAGCAGTAGGACAAATAATTGCCTTGCACATGGCAGACACATGTTCTATCCCTGGCATCTCATATGATCCCCCAAGCGCTGTCAAGAGGGATTCCTGAGCGCGGAACTGGGAGTAACCCGACCAGAGCCAGATGTGGCCTCCAAAAAAACAAAAAACAAAAAACCCACAACTCACTCTAAGACTTGGTGAAATCAGAGGTGGTTATCAGAGGGAGGGGAGGAAGAATGGTATGTGGTAGGATAGTGGAAAGTATAGACAAATTGAGATATACGGCTAAATCCCTAATAAATGAAAACGTTAAGAAAAACATAGTTTAATACACATAAGATCTGAATTTAGAATTGGAATTGTTGTGTTTGTTTTGGGCCACACCTGGTGATGCTCAGGAGTAAGTCCTTACTCTGCATTCAGGAATTACTCCTGACAGTGCCTGGGGGACCATATGGGATGGCAAGGATTGAACATGGGCTGGCTGCATGCAAGGCAAATGCCCTACCCACTGTACTGTCACTCCAGCACCCCAAAATGCACTTGTTCTGCCTCATCAATGACTGTTACAGTACTGATTTCAAATGTACATTAAATGTTTATCAGAAGAAGGCAACTAAAAGACTATTATTATACTATCCACAGAAACAGAAGAGTAAGAAAGAATAAATACCAACTTAAAATCAAATATTGGAATTTAGGGGAGTTACTGAAAATCCAAAAGCACATCTCCTTGATTGAATTAATATTGGGTTCACAGCTTTCTCAAAGGTAGCATTTTCTTTGGGGAAGAATTATAATAAACATGTATAATAAACATGTATAATAATCCATCAAAAGTACAGGAACTGGATCAGAGAGTACAACAGATAAGGTGCGTGCCTTGCACATGGCTCCCAGGGGCTCGATCCCTGGCATCCCATACGGTCCCCTGAACACCGCCAGGAGTGACTCCTAAGCACAGAGGCAGAAGTAAGTCCTGAGGACAGCCAGCTATGGCCCAAAAACAAAGAAACAAAAAACAAACCAGGAATTATTGGAATTGGGATACTGAGCAGTCATTTCAAGCACAGAGGGTCACACCAATTTGAAAAGATATCATGAACACCAGGCAAATGCTGATTTGAAAATGGAAATACTTTAATATAGTACAAAAATTGTACTTTCAGCCACACAGAGAACAGGACCTTGCACATGTTTATAAAAGAGAATTTGCATCTATCTATGTATGAATTTACTAACTTATACAGTAAAATGAAGCATGCATTTACGTAAGACTTAGAATTAACCATTCTAAACAAGACAAATGGGAAAAAATATGCTGAACTTCCTACCCTCAAATAAGAAAAAAGTATTCCAGAGGCTGGAGAGATAGCACAGCGAGTAGGTCGTTTGCCTGGCACGCAGCCGACCCAGGTTCAATTCCCAGCATCCCATATGGTCCCCTGAGCACCGCCAGGAGTAACCCCTGTGCATCGCCAAGTGTGACCCAAAAAGCAAAAAAAAAAAAAAAAAAGTAATCCAAATATAATCCAAATATAATTTACTGTTCCTTATTACAAGTAAGTTCTACGTGGTACAGCATAGTAATGTCAAGATATAAGGGTGAAAAATGAATCTGAAAGGGTTAAAAAAAATAAATGTAAAAGATCTAACACAAAAAAAATTGATATTACTATTCTACTTTTAAAAAGCTTACCTGGACCCGTAGCAGGCTATTTCACTCAAAACGCCCCAGAGGAGGGCGGGTAAGACCCTTCCCTGCCCCAAGGCACCCAGCCCCAGCAGCTGAACTCAACCACCAGAATATTAAGCAGGGCTCTCCACACGCTTGGGTGGAGCCTTGCCCACAAGTGAACCTATTCCTGGACCAAGCAGCCACACTTTTGGCCAATCAACTCTTCATACCACATACCCTACCCATATTCTAAGAGTACCACGCCACATTTGATGGAGTTCAAAGTAGGAGGCAACCAATTTTAGAGGGAAATATATTTTTTTTTACAGATACACACACACACACACAAAAGCACACAAGGCTCAACCTCTAACAACATGTTTGTGATCTATTATAGAAGGGCTTAATGGTCCCTGGGTGAAATACAACAATTTTCACCCAGGGATAGCACAGCGAGTAGGGCATTTGCCTTGCACGCGGCCAACCGGGGAGACCCCGGTTCGATTCCTTCGCCCCTCGGAGCTCTGCCGCCCTCGGAGAGCCCGGCAAGCTACCAAGAGTATCCTGCCCACACGGCAAAGCCTGGCAAGCTACCCGTGACATATTCGATACGCCAAACACAGTAATAAGTCTAACAATGGAGATGTTACTGGGTCCGCTCAAGCAAATAGATGAACAATAGGAGGACACTGCTACAGTGCTACTTTAGAAAATAAAAAAATTATTAAAAAAAAAAAAAGCTGACTATCTTGGAGCCAGAGAGATAGTACAGCGGGTAGGGTGCTTGGCTTGCACACAGTCTACCCAGGTTCGGTGCCTGCTACCCCAAATGGTCCCCCATACCTGGCAGGAGTGATCCCTGAGTGCAGTGCCAGAAGTTAGCCCTGACCAAGCACTGTCAGGTGTGACCCAAAACCAAAACAAACCAAAACAGAAAAAAAAAAAAGATTTTTTATCTTGTGGGCTGGAGCGATAGCACAGTGGGTAGGGTGTTTGCCTTGCACACAGCCAACATGGCCGACCCGAGTTCGATTCCTCCGCCCCTCTCGGAGAGCCCGGCAAGCTACCGAGAGTATCTCGCTCACACGGCAGAGCCTGGCAAGCTACCCGTGACGTATTCGATATGCCAAACACAGTAACAACAAGTCTCACGATGGAGACGTTACTGGGCCCGCTCGAGCAAATCGATGCACAACGGGAGGACAGTGACAGTTTATACCTTGTAGAAAAGCTAAGATCAGTAAGTATATAAATAGCTATTAAAATGTACCACTAAAATGTTATAAAAATTCAGAATAAGAGGTTTCTCACTAGGGGGATCAAGTAAGTATTAGCTAGCAGAGAACAGGGACAAAAAAATAAGTTTCGGTAAATAAAATGTATAATGTGCACTGAAGTGACAGTACCTGGCAGGGCCCTGCCTTTTGGCCAGCCCAGGCTCAATACCTGGCACCACATATGGTTCCCCAAGACCATGAGCGCAAAACAAGGGTAAGCCCTGAGACCATCAAGTGTGGGGAAGGAGGGAAGGACAGATGGAAAGATGGAAGGATGGAAAGAAGGAAAGGAGGGAGGGAGGGAGAGAGGAAGGGAGGGAGGGGCATAAGTATTTTCCTTAAACATTGCCAACCCTGGGGCTGGAGTGATAGCACAGATGGTAGGGCATTTGCCTTGCATGCGGCCGAACCGGGTTCGATTCCCAGCATCCCATATGGTCCCCTGAGCACCGCCAGGAGTAATTCCTGAGTGAAGAGCCAGAAATAACCCTTGTGCATCGCCAGGTGTGACCCAAAAAGCAAAAAAAAAAAAAAAAAAAAAAAGAAGAAAGAAATAAAAGAAACATTACCAACCCTGTTTTAATTCCCACAAAGCATCTGGTCCCCTAAGCACTTCCGTAAGTGATCTTTGAGCACCACCAGGTGTGACTCCCATTCCAAAAAAAAGGTATAAAATAATAAGGAATAGGAAGGTGTTAGATCAAAGGAGCTATTGTTTAAAATTTTTTTAAAAACTAAAACATGTAAGGTAGTTTACCCAGTACATGATACAGATACTTTCAATTAAAAAATGGTTTTAGGGGCTGGAGCAATAGCACAGCAGGTAGGGCATTTGCCTTGCACGCAGCCGACCCAGGTTTGATTCCCAGCATCCCATATGGTCCCCCAAGCACCGCCAGGAGTAATTCCTGAGTGTATAAACCAGGAGTAACTCCTGTGCATTTCTGGGTGTGACCCAAAAAAGCAATAAATAAATAAATAAATAATGGTTTTATTGGTATAAAAAGATATTTATTTTTATGCATATTATTAAAAATACAAGAGAACTATTATACTTTAGAAGCAAAAGAAAGAATCCATGCATTCATCTGGGGGACATAAAGTAACAAAACAGGAGATTTAATACCAAGAAAAGCCGAGATCAGTACCAGAAGGATTACTCCATGGCCTAGAGGACAGCCGGGCATTCTAGGGGAAAGGGCAGCTCAGATAGAGAAGGGAGCACCAAATAAAGGATGTTGGGAGGACCCTCCCAGGATGGGAGATGCATGTTGAAAGTAGACTATGGACCAAACATGATTGCCACTCAATGCCTCTTTTGCAGACCACAACACCCAAAAGGAGAGAGAAAACAAAAGGGAATGCCCTGCCACAGAGGCAGGGTGGGATGAGGGGGATAGGGGTAGGAGGGATACTGGGATCCATGGTGGTGGAAAATGGGCACTGGTGGAGGGATGGGTACTCGATCATTGTATAACTGAAACCCAAGCACAAAAATTTGTAAGTCTACAACTGTACCTCATGGTGTTTCACTAATAAAAATTTAAAAAAAAAATCCAGTATGAGGCAGACAAAACAGACTATATTGACTTAGGAGGGGAAAAAAAAATCCCACCAATTCCTAATGGGCTGAAGCGATAGCACAGTGGTAAGACATTTGCCTTGCAAGCGGCTGGCCTGGCCAAGTCAGGTTCAATTCCTCTGTCCCTCTCGGAGAGCCCGGCAAGCTACTGAGAGTATCTCACCCACATGGCAAAGCCTGGCAGGCTCCCTGTGACGTATTCAATATGCCAAACCCAGTAACAACAAGTCTCACAATGGAGACGTTACTGGGTCCACTAGAGCAAATCAATAAACAATGGGAGGACAGTGCCACAGTGCAATTCCTAATAAGAAGTGAAGAATATTCAACAATGTAAAATTCTAAGATGAATAAAAGTAAGGACAGCAAGGAAAACAATGAGGAAAATGGGGTCCTATCACTCAAGGTGGCCCCTACATTTCCAGCATAACAAACATGAAGAAGGCCGTCTGCAGAAAGCAGAACAAACATGGGATTCAAACCATGATGATGATGAAAAGGGCCTGACTGATCCCTTGGTATTTCCTCTTGAAATTCCATTGAGATGCAACCAATGACAGAGGAAAGCAAGATGGTAAGAAAAACAATTAGACATAATGCTTATTTTTAGACAGTGATCAGTTCGTTCCACTACTAATAATTTTAAACAAACAAAACACATTTCCCTTCTGCTTAAGGGACTGAAGTCTCTGCTCTGCATGTGGGCACCCTCCGCTGCTCCTCCAGAACCTAGCGTGGCCCCACACCATGACCCAGTCCATGACTTGTGGCCCATTAAAAAAAAAGACATAATATATGCTATTTTGTATTTTAACAAGTTTTAAAATTATGCTCCACCAAAGCTAAATTAAGTGATTAATCTGACATTAATCAAATGTCAACTGTCAAAAAGCCATTTTATTTCAAATTTGTCTCCACTGTTGGCTCTTTGGTTTCTCTTCTGTGGCACTATAGTATTGTGTTTTTTTTTTTAAGTTTATGAACCATACATCTTAAAACTGTTTTTAAAATATCATTCTTGTTCAAGCAATAACCATTTTTATTTTCCGCAGTAAAAGTTAAGAAAAGGAATAAAGCAACTATTTCAATCAAAGTTTTCTCCCACCTGGTGCTATTAACTGGTGAATACTTGAAGTCCTGGTGACGGCTGTGCTTCTGGATTCCAGGCTTGGGCTTTCTCCTTTCTTACTACTTTCCGGAGAAGAATCCCGTTGGCTGATTTTAGAACTGGTCACTGTTGTTTTATTATGACAAATGGTCAATGACTGAGTTTGATTAGTGCTTTTTGGCGGACCATTCTGTGAGCTAGATAATACACCCAGCTTCTGGCTGCGTAAAGTTAAATTCTGAACCTAAGAATCACATAAAGAATAAGGATAAAACAGATGGCATTAATTCGTGAGGTAATAGTAACCATTTTAACAGTAGTAACAGCATACATATGCTTTTCTACGTAAAGCTCCAAGCACTTGAAATAACTTACTCATCCTGAAGGAAAGATTAAGCAAGTAAACCAATCTAAAATATTAAGTAGATTTTTTTTTAAAAAAATGAAGGAAAAGAATCATTAAGCACTAAAGGACTGAGGGCCGAGTACAGAGGTTGGAGTCCATGCTCTGCAGGCAAGAAACTTGGGTTCAATCCCTGGCACAACAAGCTTCCCTCAGTACTGGCAGGAGTGACCCCCTAGCCAGAAATATTCCCAAGCACTACCAGTGTGGCCCAAAAACAACAAAAATTTTCAGCAACTAAATGAAAACAATGGGACCAGGAAGATAGCTCGGGCCTCAGTACATGCTTACACGCCCAGAGACCTCAGTCACTGCAGAACTGCAAAGTTTCCCCACCTCCTCCCATCCCAGTTGCCAGATGGACAGTGAAGGCCACAAGCACAAATGAGTGTGGCTTAGTGGCCTCAAGCACTGCTGGGTCCGCACACTGCTCCGTCACCAGGCCCCTGCATTGAACCATGGCCAAGCACCAGGAGCAGTCAACAGGGCCATCTGAGCACTGCTTGGAGGTCAACAGCCTCCCCTCTGCCCCCATCCCTGCCACGAAAAAGAACTGAAAACAAAACTATACATATACATATTAGCATATATACATATCAAATGAATTATGAAGATGAGATAATTACCCTGCAACATTACTATATTTTTATCTTTCCAGAACAAAGACAGTTGAAAGGAGGGAGAAAAAGGGGCATTCCAGGTAACGGGGAAACCTGAGCTAAGCTACAGAGCGACTTACATGTGCCAGTCTGTCAAATACTTTAGGGTACAAGTCCCTACAGAACTCACGAGAAGTTACTACAGATAAGGAGTAGAATGTGGACACAATACTGCTGTGTTGAAGGGCAGCAATATTTCTGTTATCCCAGAGAGGCAAACAAAGTTATCAGCTGTATAGAGACTGCAAGGGAACCCTTCATCTTGTAAGAAAACTGATCCCTCAATTTACCAATCCTAATGTGATCATCACAGAAAGCACATTCTACTGTTCGGAGGAACAGGCTAGCAAGAAAGGCTGGCAAGACCTTGCAGGCAGCCAACCCAGGTTCCATCCCCAGAACCCCACGCACAGCCAAGAGCAACCCCTGCTGAGTGCGGCCCCCAAAACGAACAAAACGCATGGACTCCTTTTTTAAGTTGGCTGCAGCTTGTATGAAATACATGCCTTGAACAACTGCATTCATGAACTGAATTATATGTACATACAGACGAGAAATGGTTTATGTGGCGCTCTAATTTGTATCTGGGCTTTTCGAAACAAAGTCCGGATGTTAGTAAGGATCATTCCAAGGATCACTCTCACTCACTGTGCTTTACAACAGCAGAAAGGCACAGAGTGCCTCCCAGACAGCTCTTTAACTTTATGCCTCTGGGAAATGAACACAGCAAACGCATTCAGCTAGCTAGCACTTCGCCCCGGGAGGAAAATTCAGAGTCTAAAAGGACAGAGGAAATGATACGTTACAGTTTTAGGTACTTCAGTTTCATGTTTTCTCTATACATTATCATTGCTGATGTTCAGAAATGCATTCTCTTTCCAAGTGTCCAATACAATGCTCAGCCAATAACAGAATCTAAATTAATATTTACCTCAGAGCAGTCATGGTTTTAGTAAATTCTAAGCTACTGAAATAATTTTCTAGGTGAGACCAAATACTGTCTTATATAAGTGAATACACAAAGCAAGTTATACTAGCAAATATATTATCGAACTACAAAAATAAAATACGCTAGAATCCAAATTTTTCAGCTTACCACTCAAGTCTCCACAAACTAGGCCCAAACCATTTGGAGACCCATTTTCCAATACTCCAGCCTACATATTCAAGTTCTAATCCAACTGTTCTGCTCATCCTTCTCCAAATACACCTTGCAATTCTCCAACTATACCTTCTCTGAATATACCCTAGAATCCTTTCTCAACTTGCTCTTATCTAAAATGCCACCTTTTCTCAGAATAATATCTCCTAAAGTCCAAACTACCCAATCAAGGCCCAGTAGAAATCCCATTCATTCTCCCCCAGAAAACCTTCCCAAGTGTCCCTGGAATACAATTAGAAATAACTTCTCCTCCCCTCTTTTCACATTAAATTTGGGAGTTGGCCTAATCACTGACAAATGCCTAGCTTATTTGGCAATTACCAAAGCCTGTGACTATGAAAAACTTAAGATTAGAGGAAGAGCTCTTATCTCTAATTTTTTTTTTGTGTTCCCCACGGCTCAGTGTTGCAGACATAACAGAAATCCCCAAGTCTGATATCTGCCTTTATCTGATTGTGATACATTACATGGTTGGTTTGAGAAACAAAAACAAAATGGAAAAATATCTCATGGAGGCATATTAACACCACTCAAGAAGCAAAACCAATGCAAATGTTAATATCTGCAATACATGATTTACAAAGTGACCCACATAATTTCAGATGTTGTCATCTAAAACACTTAAAAGTTTTCCTTCAAATGAAAAGCTTATTATAAATTAAGATTTTATAAACTAAATCCTAAAATCTCCATTAGTACTATAGAACTATAGAACAGTTTCCTTTCTTCTAATTTGCTTTTCACCTTCAGGAATTCTGATGGAAAAAAACTGTGTATGCATAGTATATATGCATCATTATTATATATAATTTATGTGAACAAATCAATGTTAAAGTGTGGCTACAGTATCTAGTCTTTGCTTAAATATTTACAATGAATTTCAAACATGTAAAACATCTTAAAGTATACTATAAAGTTTTTTAGCTGTTAATCAAAAGATCATTTTGTGTTGGAGTGTTAATATAGAAGGTACGGTGCTTGTTTTGTACACAGCTGACCCATGTGTGACGCCCAGCACCGATTCCCCCAAATATCAGGAGAGATTCCTAAACACAGAGTCAAGAGTAAGCCCTGATCACTGCCAAGTGTGGCCCAAAAACAACAACAAAAAGGTCAGATACTAGATTTCCTTTTACTTTGAGAAGAGTACATTCTTCCTAAGATAAAGACTAGCAAAGCATTCCAATATCTAATTTTCATTTCATCTAATTTCTCTGATTAATTTCTTCTATGGAAACATTCTGACTTGAATACTGTACAGGTTTCATATGAAGTATATGTGGTAATTTCATAGCTTACATTTCTATTATGGATTGCCCAAATGCTCTTACATCAATTATTTAATTTGAACCTAACAAATACTGTGTATATAAAACAGACTTTCATAATCCACTCGTGTCACTGGGCTCTTGAATTAATCCCATAGCCTAGTTACTGTGCTAAGTGCTGCAGCAAATAATTGCATGCATATGCCGTTTTAAACAGTGTTTTTGTGGGGCTAGAGCAATAGCACAGCGGGTAGGGTGTTTGCCTTGCACGCGACCGACCCGGGTTCGATTCCCAGCATCCCATATGGTCCCCTGAGCACTGCCAGGAGTGACTCCTGAGTGCAGAGCCAGGAGTGACCCCTGTGCATCGCCAGGTGTGGCCCAAAAAGCAAATAAATAAATAAATAGTGTTTTTGTGGTTAGATAGCCACAAGTGGGATTGCTGGGTCATATGGCAGTTCAAGTCTTACTTTTCTAAGAAATTTCCATACTGATTTTCACTGAGGCTGAACCAGAAAACATTCCCAAAAGCACTGTTTGAGAGTTCCTTTTTCTTTATTCTAGTCAGATCTTTATTTAAAATTCATATGTCAACTCAGCCTTTCCCACCAACTTGGGGAGCAGACACCTTCAGAGAGCTCCTTTTCCACCACATCTTCACCAACACAGATTGTTCCTGGGTTTTCGGATATGTACCATTTTCACTGTTACAAGATGACACGTCACTGTCTTTTTAAATTGGGTTTCCCAGATAAGTGATGATGAGAAATTTTTCATGTGCTTATCCAGCCATCTGCCTTCCTTCTTCAGAGATGTGTATGTTTATTTCCTATCTCCACTTTTTGACAGAAAACTTCGGGGTTTGTGTTTATGTTAAGCTTTGTGCGAACTTTATATATCTTGAATATCAATCCTTTATATCTGATGTGTTGAGTGCAAATATTTTCTCCCATTCATTTGGGCATCTTAGTTTTTTTAGCCTATGTTTCTTTTGCTGAAACTCTTTAAATTGATGCACTCACATTTATTTATTTTTGATTCTGTTGTCGTCACTGAAGTCATGTCATGAAAACACCTTGGAGATCCAAAATTTGGAAAATTATGCCTATAGTTCTTCGATGTATTTTGTGGATTCTAGACTGATCTCAAGGTTTTTATTCCACTCTGAATTGACTGTTGTTTAAGGTGTGGAAACCCCTTACTGGAGACACAGCTTCATTTTTTTGAATGTAGTTAATCCAGTTTTTCCAGCACTATTTCTTGAAGAGGATCTTATCCCACTGCATTTGCCTGGCTCCTTTTTCAAAAATTAACTGATCACAGATCTGGGAGTATTTAATCCACTGGTCACAGAGTCTGTCCTTATTCCAATACCATGCTGTTTTAACCACTATAAATGTATAGTTTCTAAGTAGGCAACGAGATATGGCCAGTTACTTATTTTTCATATAGCTTTGACTATTTGGGGTGTTTTATGAATCCTATAAACTTTATTATTGATTGTTCGAAGTCTTAGAAAAATATCATCTGAATTTGGATGGGAATTTCATTGAATCTATATAATAATTTAGGGAACATGATCATTTTTACAAGATTGAATTTTCTAATTCATGAACATAAAATATTTTTCCACTTCCTGAGGTCATCTTCTCTTAAGTGACTTACTTTTCACAGTGCAGATCTCACACATATTTGGTTGATTCTTAGGTACCATATGTTTTTCTAACAATATTTTGAATAAAAAAGACTCTG